CGGGCAAAATTCAAAATTTCCTACCAACTAAAAGTATTAGGTGTGTCCCGCGCGCTCATTTGACCTATGCAGTTGCGAGCGCCGTAAAAACACTTACCAAAACATTACTTTTCCCCAGCATTAAATGACCGTCATTGTGTCGATGTGCCTCTCTTTACTCAAACAAACAAACAAACATATGTTCGGTATTGACATTAAGAATGAGGACATTTGGATGCCAATGATTGCAGAGAATTGAAAAAAAATGTTTTAAATTAAGAGCTATGATGACTTTACTTACATTTACTTTTACTCTTTTATCCTCTGTTGCCGTTGAGCATCGAGGGGAGATGCAGTTTTCTATGGTAGGCCAACTCCACAGCTCTTTCAGTTGTGATATTATGTTTTCTCAGGGTTTCCATGACACCCTCAATCCACCTTTTGCGTGGCCTTGCTCTTCCTTTATAGCCTGAGTGCCTGGTGTTGTAGGCTCTCGTGGCTGGCTTGCTGTCAATAATGACATTGTTTTAATGTTTTAAAAATATCATAAATTAGCCTGAAAGAATCAGGGTTTTCTTGTTCTTTTTATTTATACGAAAATTTTCACTCATTGGCGCCTGTGTGAATGATTGATGGGGCACCACGGGTAAGTCCTACTTCTTTATTTTCCCTCTTTGTTTCTTCCTGTCTTTTCAGGGTTTTTTTCCCAAACGCTAAATGACTGTTACTGCATGATACGCTTCTCTTTACTCAAACTCACAATACCTGTCGTGTTTCCCCCCAGTTTCCTGCACGAGTACTGGACGTGCGTGAGTCACCTGATCCCGGCTTACATGATCGACCTGGCCTACAGGATGATGGGCAAGAAGCCACGGTGAGTGGACGTTATGACACGCAAAAATTCTCGCTCATTTTGAGGAATTTGAGTTTGTTGTGATAATGTGTTGGGTTTTTGGGTTGTTGGTTTTTTTTAAAGCACAGAATTGATGCTGTATAATTCCATTTACTCAACCCCGCGTGCAATTATAAGAATTTCTTTTTATACCTTTCCCTTTGACTTTCTCTCTCTCTCTCTCACCCATTCATTCCACCCTTTCTCCCTCCCTGTTCCCTATTGTGCGTGTCCACACTCAAATTAATGAACTGAAGTGCAGGCGCCTAGATCCTCACAACAATGTAACCATCAAACAATGAACCTAATTCTGCAAGACTTCTGTTCAAGCTAAGATAAATGTGAGGTGTGCTGACAAAATGAGTTACTTCTGGCGATCCAAGAATGGAGATATCGGCCTAAGATTCCACACTGGGGTCGGATTTATAGATTTTCAAGTGATGCCGTTTTGTTCAAGTCTACCGTATCTTTTATCTATACATATTATATTTGTGAAAGGTCGTCTCTTTGGCTGCCTAAAACTTCGAAACCACTTAACTTTCTAATTTGAAAAAAAAAATGATGGTTCAGAATCGTTTAAAGGGTGCACAGTTTTACTGAGGAGTCTGAAGTCATGGTAGTTTAATTTTCAATTTTTCTTTAGTTTCGTTTAGATCTATTCTTGGGAAAGTCCTTTTTCTAAGACGCCATTGTAAACAAATGAGGCTTCTGTTCACAAAGAGTGCCTGCGCTGATCCAACTATGACTTGACGATCGATTCTTTTTGAGTCCGTTCATCGAACGGGGAACCCAGCTAGTTATTCCATACATACAAATTGTACAAATGCCACCTATAAAGTTGATGTATCAATTTCTATAAGGCTAAAATCTGAGAAGTAACTCATTTTTTCAGCACACCTTCCTAATGATTAAGCTAAGAAAAAAAATGATTTTGTCTTCTAATCTTCTAACCCATCTTTCTCCCCCCTCTCTCAACAGCATGGTGAGGCTGTACAACAAGCTGCACCGCTCGATCGATGTTCTCAAGTTCTTCACCTGCAACGAGTGGCAGTGGTCCAGCACCAACCACGACATGCTCAAACACCAGCTCACACCCTTGGACCAAAAGGTTCGATATCTCTTTTTTTCTCTACTTTTTCTTTCTTTTTCTTTTCTTTTTGAAAATCTTTTTTCTTTCCTTTTTTTGGGGTTTTTTTTGTTTGTCATTTCACCCCCAATATCGCGAGAAAAATGAGTAACTCCCTCATGTATGAAGGAAGAGTGTGTTTGTATATGGGTGTGCACATGTGCATGCATATGCCTGTGTGTGCGTGTGTGTGTGTGTGTACGTGGTAAAACACCGGACTAGTGTGCCAGGATCAGGACAAGAAAGGTGTATCTTATCTTATATTATCTTATGTTTTTTCTCGCAATGTTTAGCAAGATCAAACAAAGTTACTTATCTTTCATATGATCGTGACCATTTATGCTGCTTTTATTATTATTATTATTGTTTTTTATGTTTCTTTTGTTTGTTTTTGTTGTTTTCTTGTTGGTGTCTTTTTGTGTGGTGTTTTTAGGGGTTTTTGTCTTTTGTTGTTTTTTTGTTTTTGTTTGAGGGTTGTTGTTTTTTTCACTTTTCCTTCAGTACAGGCATGTCTCCATCATTTTGTTGACGTTCTTGTCTTTATCTCAGAAGACAAAGTAGCAAATAGTCATGCGTGGTTGTGAATAAATATTTGTCTTTACTCGTCAGATGTTCTACTTTGACCCGAAGCCCCTCCACTGGCCGACGTACATCGAGAACTACTGTATGGGGGCCAAGAAGTACGTGCTGAACGAGGATCTGTCTGGATTGCCTGCGGCCCGAGCACACGTGCGCAAGTAAGATTTTTATTTGTTTGTGAATAGTTTTGCTACCATCCTCACACACACACTACGCACGTGCACACACCACACACACATACACACCACGCGTGCACACACACCATGCGGGGGTACATGTGTGTGCGCACGCACACACATACACACGCTCACACACACTTTTTTTTCTGTTTATATTGTCTCTGTGTACGTAAGGGGAACTCCACGAGAAAAGCTAAAAGCACCGTTCTATAGGCCTGTACCTTTGCTGACAGGGCTAACACAACCCAAAGAGGTTATATTTAGTACTAGAGTTCGTGGCAGTGATGTCCCCCCGCGTAAATGAATGGGGACTGCGTGTGCCCACTCTGGGACGCTGAACCTCAAGGGTAAGACATATGCAGTTCAACAGACGAGTGAGTACTTTTCGAGACTCAAGTGGAGACGTCTCGGCAGTCTTAGGAGGAAATCTACAAGCTTGCACTGGAATATGGAGGCAGGGTGGTGTTTAATATACTAGAACTCGTGGGGAGCTGGGTGAGGGCTCAGATTGTTCACGTAAATGGGGGCACGCCAACAATACCAATGAGGGTAAGAAGGCCCCGCCCCCTCCATGTCTGACACATGTGACATCACTACTGTGAGCTCTAGTATTATTTTATATAACCTCTTTGACACAACCTTATCACAGTGGTCATGCCTTTGTGCTGTATCCAGTTGAACTCTTGCCGGTCCTTACTCCATTAATTTCAACCCCCCCCCCCCCCCCCCAAAGTAAACCCCTTCTGATTGAAATGATGAGAGTGAGAGGCGACGTCAAGGTTCACCTACATCACATAGATACTATTTACTGTGCATGCTGACTACAAACCTGCAGATGGACCACCGCAACGGTTTTTTAGCTTTTAGAAAAAAACAAACCAAAAAACTATTTCTTCCACAGTTAGAGCATAACACACCACCGATTTGTCATGGTTTTTTCTATACCGTTAGAACATAAAACCATACCGATTTGCTTTTAAAAAAAAAAAATTAACCAGCTGTAATTGTCTTCCCTCAGGCTGCGGATCATCCGGTACCTGTTCAACATGTCCGTGGCCGTCGTACTGTGGCGTGTGCTCATCGCCAAGTCGCAGTTTGCCCGAAACCTGTGGTTCTTCATCGTGGGTCTCGTCTCCAAGTTTGTCCAGTACTTCAGGATCACCAGCACTATGCACAAATGATTGAGGGAGGGAGGGCCGCGGTTCGTCGCTCACTCTTTCCCTGAAGGACACCAGTTCTCTCTCCTGTTTTGTTAATTTAATGAATTTGTACCCATTTCAGGCGCTAATTTGAATGGCTGTGGCTGAAAAAGGCCTTGTGACTTGTGACATGGAGCCAAAAAAGTCGTCTTCTTCCCCTATGTTGTTATAGGGTGCAGTAAAACCTTTTCTCATGTGTCTGATTGATTTTTGTGTGTGTGTGTGTGTCAGTGTATGTGCACATGAACGGATGGGTGTGTGTGTTTGTGTATGCATGTGTATGTATGTGTGTGAGACTGTTTGTGCATGTGTGTGTGAGAAAAGTGACGGAGGCATTGATTAAGAACCCCACAAGAGTTCTCACAATTTCAAGCGAAGGACATTACTTACGGCCTTCTGCAAGGTTCGTCCAGTATATTACCTCAAAGCCGTGTTCCCCAAGAGCCTGGAGTATCCTGCGACCTGCTAAAGTCAAAGGTCGTGCCATGGAGTCATTTGGCTTTGAAAAAATCAGTTTTCGAAAGCTACTAATTTTTAGTAGCATATCAGTGTGGAGTGGCTGCAAGACAAGCGGGTAGAACCTTTTTTTTCGTGAAGGAAATGTCACTGTGAGCTCATCCTGTAAGCTGTTAATTTAATGGCCCAGCTGGTTACAGAGTGAGAATTGTGGGATAAATGTGATGAGACTTGAACCCTTGCTAGCGTATGTTGCCAGAATATTGCTGGTTTTGACACCACCTTGGTTTGTTTGGTCGGTTGTGTCTTTTCCCAGTCCATCGTCAGATTGTCACATGATGTTATGGTTAAGAGATTTGTTATGGAGATTTGTCGTAAATGTTGAATCTAAAACCCCGCACGCGTCTTGAGAGTGCGGTGACTTCAGAAGTTGTTTGCTCGTTTGTTTTTTTTGTTTACAAACTGGAAGAAGGACATGCTTGAGTGCAGCTTTGTAAGTCGATGACTCTCAATTGTTTTTTTGTTACGAGTTGTATTCCTGATGAATGTTTGTGAGAAACAGAAATCTCATTTTTAAACCATATATTTAGCGAACCTGTTATTATTAGCATTGTTCCGTCAAGGTTGTTACTGATGTCATGATGTGTAAAGTAACACAGCTTTGTAACTGCCACTCCTGGTGCTCTTGTAAGCTGTTGCTTTTGCATAGCTCATTTCAAAATTTCAGGTACTGTTTTGCAGGCTGCAATATGCTTGCTTCAAAATAAAAGATAGACCTAACAAATATTTTAAATCTGAATTTTTTCCACTTTTAAGGTGCTATAGATTTAGAGGAATATATAATACATAAAACAATATTTTCCCCTACCTGTTAAGCGGAGCACTTAGAAACACTCTTCTGTATTTTAGCTATAAAGATGTTACCACACCACCCCCCACACTGTACCCAATTTGCTCAAGTTGTGAGTGATTGTGGTCTGCCATGGTGGGTTGATTGTGAGCTTTTTTTTTTTAAGTTTCAAGAATGATGCTTTTTTATGGACCGAGCTGTAATGTTCCTACAAGAAAGCATTATTTTATTATTAGATATACGTTTATGCTTTGCAAAATTATAAGCTTCATGGCTATATATTTTATGAAAAAAAGTAGTACCTTGTTGTCATCAAAATATGGTAGTTTATTATGCCAGACTGTGGTACCATCGATGTTTCAGTGTTTAAAGATCAAATTTAGCCCCTCTTCTACCCTACCCTCGGTACCTGACGTTGACCCGAAAATGATAGTTTAGCAGGATTCTGCTGTTGACTAGACAAGGGTGTTGGAAGGACTGGTTTGACAGTTACCTTGGAGGCGGCTGTGTCAGGCATAAGTCTTGCTTGGGTTGTTTTTTTCAAATATCTCAGCTCATTAGTCATGACCAGTATCTTACCTCATTAGTTTGTTGTTGCCCAGAGGTTACACTCCGAGTTACAAACAAACAATAAAAAAAATAAAATTAAAAAAAGCATTTTAAGCCACCTACCACAATGACCCTATCCCCATGCTCCCGGCTCTGCGTGGTTTTCTTTTCCCCATTCTCTGTACTGCAACTTGGTCAAGGTTGTATGTCTGCTGTATTCACTTGCTCAAATAAAAAAGAATGAATTTTAAAAAAGAAACAACATCCATCCTCAAGTCATGGTCCAGTACTATCATTTGCGCACAGTCGCAGTGCTTTGTTCTGCTGTTATTATTCATTTTGGTTCGCCTGTTTTAGATTTGTGTTTTGTATTGATCCGTGGTCTTGCATGGTGAAAGTGGCCAGAGATAAGGCCGTTTAAGTTAAACATTCCTCAAGGAGATGGAATAAAGAACTGCCGAGTCGGGGAAGCATCTGCCAGGCAATGTGTCACAGTTCTGTTTTATTGCCTCTTTGCATTGCTTCTTACCTCAGTCTTGCCTTTGCTTCAGTAGTTACTCCCCCCCCCCTCCCCAATTTTTTAAAACGCTCCCACACTTTTTTTACCATTTCTGTGTAGTCCCCTGTGCCGAATATTTGATGTCTTGGCCTTGTGCTTCTCTTTATCTGAGACTGAAACTCTGTTTGTTTGTTTTGTTGGGAACATCTCTAGTCGTTTTTTCTCTAAGCATAGAAAAATTGTTTCCTCTACGCAATTCCTACAAGCTAAGCAGAATGTCTAGTCCTAAGGTTACTCCCACTTTGTGGAAGAACTTTGTGTGTGATTCGGTCAGTTGTTTTTTTTTGGGTTTTTTTTTTTTTACCTCAGGCTACAGAGAGCAGACACTCAGCCCTAGGAGAACAGAACATACCTCCTTAGTTATAGAATGTTTCTTGTACATCTTTCTGGTACGTTAAATTTTATTTTGTACCTTAAAGTATCGCTCTTGGGATTGGTCAGCAAGTTCTCTTAGCACACAAATGCCATAGAATGAACAGAGGATTTGGAAGTATCGTTTTTATGTGAGTAAGATTCAGTCACTAAACTTACTTGTTGAGAAGTTATTTTTACCTCAAAAGGGCCAGCATTGTATTACAACCAGGTGCTCTTGAATTGACATTAACAAACTTTTGCAAAAATGAGACTTTATGTTGAGGTGTTTTTTAATTATTTTTAGCCTGTTTAAGACCCTCGTGGTTCAGAGATTGATTTCCTCTCCTCATGTTATTCTCTGTCCCCCACCCCCTGAAATGTGTGACTTTTCACAATTGTTTACTCTTTTGTTGTTGACAGTTTGCTTTTTTTTTTCTTTCGCTTGATGTTTATATTTGTTCATTGAGAAAAACACCAAAAGAAAGTGAAGAGAGAAATAAATGGTATCAAGTGTTGTCTCTGTCGTACACAGTTCTCTCACATTTTGGTACCCAATTTTGTTGTATTTTAAGAAGTGCGCTGTTAATTTGTTACTCATTATTTATCACTGCTTCTGTGTTGTAAAGCTGCTCAATATGAAGTGAAATTTTCTTTTCTTTTTAAAAATTTGTGTCTTTTTTATTTTCAAACTTTTTTCACTTGTTTAACAGTAAGTAATGCTTATTCCGGTCTATTTCTGATGCAATTTATGATGCTTGCCAGTTCACAAGTTCCTGTTGCTTCGATTGTGTGATTGCCACTGACGTCTCATGTTTATATCTTCTTCCACTTTGATGTTAATTTGTTTGCTTGTATTTTGCCCGTTACTTTCTTCTGCATGTGTTAATGTGTTAATTTGTTTTTCTCTGAAAACTGTTCTCTGCTCAACAATAACCTGTATGTCATGGTTATCATGGCTCTTTGCATTAATGATGCACCCAATAGTCCACACGCAAAAATTCTCGCTCATAATGTTTCTATTTGTACATGAAGTTAAACCTGATTTGTGAGTTCTGGATCAGTTGCTACAGTACAAAGGTTTAAATATTTGAAGTGACAATGACACTGGTGCGTAAATACCGACAGGATAAAGAGAAGAGTTTGGAATGGAATCTGTGCCAGACAGATAGTCTATCTCTTTGATAGTTTATACATATCGGTATCTCTATTTTTTTGTGCGTGTATTGAGAGAGTGGTATAAATATAAATGTGCTAGTTGTGATTTCCAAAGTGGATGTCTTGGGTCCATTTCTTTCTGCATCAGAATATGGGGACTGGATCAGGCTCCAAGTGATTTTATTTAAAGACACAATAACAGTTAGAACAAGTATCTACAGTTATCGACAGTCTTGTCTTGATCGTCAGTGACCAACAGTTCTGTCTTTCCCAAAGGGGAGCTGAATAATTAATCAACAAGTACTAATGAGCTGCTTTCATCCGACCTACATTTTCCTCACTCAAAGAGTTGGGGTTTCTTTTTCTGCAGCAAATGTCTCTGTGGTAAGAAGAAGAGAATGCACTGGAATACAGTTGGTCCTATCTAAGGTGACCACCCATTGTCGATGAGAAAAGCTGTCTTAAATAGAGGGTGTTTTTGGGCAGTCTCATTATGATAGAGAAAAAATACAAGGGTGATGTGGTTGTTTGGACAGGTGGTCGTTAGAGCAGATTCAGTGGTATTTCTTTGTGTGATTTGTGGTTGGTAAGGAAGATATCTATAGCTACAAGTTTTCTGAGACATGCTCTCATGAATATGAGAGAAAGAGAAGTCTTGGTAATCACAGCTGAGACATACAACACTGTTGGAGATGGTATTAAAGATGGTCTTGTTCCCTCGATTTCTCTTTCTCCCTTTTCTTTTGCTCTCTCTTTCTCTCTGCCTCCTATCTCTCTCTCTCCTCTCTCTTTCTCTCTCTCTTTCTCTCTCTCTCTCTCTCTCTATGTCTCCCTGTGCCCCCTCTCCCTCCAAACATATGTGAAATCTAGTCAACTCAAACAAGCAAGTTGAGCACAGTATTTTAACTTTGCACCTTTTTCAAAACAAAAACAAATAAAGAGATCAGCTTTACTTCCGACAACGAAATACAGCTCTTGTTAGCATACATCACTATCAAAGGGAAATGTCTCCATTGTAAGCATATGTCACTAGAGTGAAGGAATATACCACCATCATTAGCACAAGGCTCTATATAGGTGAGTTTGAATACACATCACTCGCCATATGTCCTTGTTTAAAAAAATGTGTTTGCTCTATAAATTTGTAGAGCTTTTTTTTCTGAGTTTATGCATTTGTATTTGTATATCTGATATATATGTTGATATACATTATTGATTGATGTATATTTATATATATATAAATTAAATATATATATATATATGTGAATACATAAATTGTTTTGGTCCGCACTTGTGGTTGGCTGTTCTCCGTTGAAGCACAGCTCTGTGTATAGCTTGTGACTGGTGTTGCAAACATTCCTTTCTTCGAGTTCTGAGACTCATGGGTTACCTGGTAACTTCTTGTACAAAAGTTGGGCTTTCTTGTGATGATTCTGTTTGTTTCTGGTTGTTTCAGGCTCTACAACACCGATTTTGGTGATGAGCTGTGTGTTTCGTGTACATAAATATGCTCTTGCACATGTGGAAATGACATTTGAGAGAATGTGGTTGTGTGGAGATATGTTAAGTGTAATTTCTGGTGCAGGTGAATGTAGTCAGTAGGTTACTTTAAATGCCTGTCAAGTTTAACTCTTTGTTGCCAAAAGTTTCTGTACTTGCAAGAGTTGTTAGTTCTATAGTTCTATATATTACAGTTTGTTTTTCGTAGGTATGTCAGAGATCGTTAGCGCCAACTTTTTTTGGCAGAGTGTTTTTTCGCTAAAGGATGGAATCATCAACAGCCTAGTTGAAAGTCATTGACTTCTGTCATGAAATGTCTGTTTCAAGTGACAGATATAAATGAGAGAGGAAAATTATGTGTTCAGTTTTTAGTCAACTATAACAATGCATCATAATATTTCACCACCTCTTGAATAACCTAACAGTGTTGATAAAATGTTTAACCTATACCATTTCACATTGTCAGTCGTATGGCCCCCATCCTTTCTGTGGTGCAGTCGCATGAAGCTCTATTAATAGAGTGGATGACTGTCTCATCATACTTCTGTGAATGTGTTGTGTGCGTAGGTTTAGTTTTAGATTTACTGAATGAACAATTGTGGGAAGCAAACATTTATATATTTGGTATAGTTGAACCTGTCCAAGAGACCACCCATTGTTGAGGAGAAAAGTTGTCTTCTTAGACAGATGATCGCCTTGGACAGTATTGTTGTAATACAGTCGAACCTGCCCTGACAGCCACCTCTATAAGACGGCTACCTGTACAAACGGCCACTTTCCATTTCCCCCCTTGCGTTTTTTCTATATAATTTAACTGTGTAAAACGGGCACCTGTCCAACGCGGCCGTGGCCACCATATTTTAACACACAACCCCTATCACTCTAAGCAATAACACCTGTCTTAGACGGTCACCTTAGTGACTCCATTACGTTTTGTCATTAATTGTGCATTGACCCCTGGCATTGTGGGCGAGCCGTCATAATCTAATCACCTGTCATTGTTGTTAGGTAGTCCCTGCAACCGATCATGTTGTGTAGGCCCCTCCCACTGTTGACCAATAGGTACCAATTTCCAGCTGCTGGTGGGGGGAGCGTGTGATCCCTCATAACCCATAAGCCCCGCCCAGAACTCATACACAAATCGTTAGTGAGATGAGTGGTCACTGTTTATCCAGTCTGTAACAAAGTAACAATGGACGTCAACATGGACTTGTGACAGAAGCGTCGCTCGTTCTTCGAGTGGTGGCGACCCATATGTTTGTTTTACCATAGCACTCGGTCCTCCTTGTCTGACACATTTCGTTTTATTGTCACCCGTGCACAAAATCAATAACAAAATTTAATAGCAAACAAAATGCAAACCACCACCAACAAAAACAATAATGCGGCTACTTTCGGTTGAGAATGGGGTTTGTTTTTTTCATCTTGATCAGTCCTGCCTAAGACGACCACTTGTCTTATACGGCCACTTTTCTCCTTAAAAACACAAAGTAGGGAAGTGGGTTTGGTTTGGGTTTTTTTTTTGTTTTTTTTGTCCAGGTGGTTGTCTTGTACAGCTAGAATCTAGAACAGGTTTGACTACTTGTTTAGGGCTCTTTTTGTCTTGATTAGCAATGAGAGGAGATAGTCTATACAGTTATCAAAGATCCTATAATAGTTTGTTTTTTCTTTGT